GCTACCAGAGCTCCTTGTTCCAATATTTAACACAATAATCTCCACTAACTCAAAACCAAACTCACTGTCATTGAGTCAACTCGAGCATATAACAACCCAATATAGGGTTTCTGAGGCTGTAAATAATTACAGGGGTAGAAAGCTTCATCTTTCTCCCACACAGCTGCTGGTAGGTTTTCAATTGCAGACCTTGTGGTTAGCAATCTAGTTCTTACCCTACAGCAACAGTCAGCACTACTAATTAAATCTCCGTTACATAAAGGTTTAATTTATTGGACTGAATTATACTTTAAGATTATTTCCTATATAGAGCAGTAACTTGATGAGGCTTTCTGCTCCTGCAAAGATGGCCAGCCTCAGAAACCTTAAACAGTGTTGATATGAGTTTCAACAAACTCGATGGTACATAACAACAACAACAAAATGCCCTTGTGGCACTGTGGGATAAGCATTGAACTACTAAACTCAAGGTTGGCAATTCAAACCTACCACTCAATGTGAGGGAGAAAAAGGGGGCTGTTACAAACTGGGCAGCTAACCTCAAGGTCAGCAGTCTGAAACTACCAACTGTCCTGCAGGAGAAAGATGCTTCCCTAAAGATTTACATATTGGAAACGCTATACAGGGTCAACTATGAGTTGGAACCGACTCTACGGCACATCATCACCACCGTATGTGAGTTGGAATCAACTCGATGCCAGTAGGTTTAGGTTTGCTTGTTTGTTTTTTAATCATGCTAAATGTTCTAACTACTTTCTCTTTGAGAGTTCTCATTCTTGGTTTTACATATACTTTCTTTATTGTCCCTATAATGAAACTTATCAGAATTGCCTCTGTTGGCAGAAAATGAGCAAATTAACTGAGAAGGAAAAAAGGACTGCAAAAATTTTTGCATTCTTGCTGTCAAACTCAACTTTATATAACACTAAACTGAAAATATTTAGTGTACTTTTTCTAATTTGTTTACATTTATATGTATATATACACATAAACACATATATTTGTTGTTGTTAAGCGCTGTCAAGTCTCACACACACACACACACATCCATATATATACATATAATCAGAATTGGAGTCCTGGTGTGGAACTGCACAATAAGCAGTGGACCATAAGGTTGGTTTGAATAGCAACTTAACAACAACATATATATATAGTGTGTAGTGCTGTAGGTTCAGCCCTGGACTGTGAACAACAAGGCTGGCAGTTCAAACCCACCAACTGCTCCTTGGAAACCCTACATAGGGTTGCTATGGGTCAGAATCCTAATATAATATAAATCTGAATTAATCTGCAGTCAGAAATACTTCTGCTTTCACCTGGAAATAATTCTAATATTAATAAAGGTAACTTTTTTTTTATTTTAAAGATAAATTTATTTTAATTTTAAGGGAAGGGCTTCAAGTCTGCTTATGTTAAATGAAGGAATGAAAGAAGAGCTCCAAAAGTTCAACACAATTAATGATGTTGAAAAGTTCTTTTTTAATTATTGTTGTTATGTGCTGTTGAGTAAGTTCCAACTCACAGCAACCTGATGCACAACAGAATGAAACACTGCTGGGTCCTAGGTCATCCTCACAATTGTTACCCTTGATCCCATTCCTGTTGTCACTGTACCCCATCTAGTTGGGGGTCTTCCTCTTTTACAATGGCCTTTTACTTTACAAAACATGATATCCTTCCCCAGGGACTGGTCCCTTCTGATAATACGTATGAAAAACGAGAGACAAAAATCTCACCATCCTGACTTCTAAGGAGCATTCTGGCTGTACTTCTTCGAACACATATTTGGCACTTTCAATATTCTCCTCCAACCATAACTTAAATGTGTCAATACTGACACAGTCTTCCTTATTCGCTGTCCAACTTTCACATGAAAATGAGACTACTGAAAATACCATGGCTTGGGTCAGATGCACTTTAATCCTCAAACTGAAATCTTTCCACTTGAACACTCTGAAGAGGTCTTGTGCAGCAGATATGCCTAGTGCAGGACATACTTTGACTTCTTGACTTCTGTGGATCCATGTATAATGAAGTCTTTGACAACGTACATCTTTTCTCTATTTATCATCATCTATCTACTTGTACACTTGTGAGGATTTTGTTTTTTTGCTTTACACTGACTTACAATCCATACTGATGGTTGCAGTCTTTGATGTTCGTCAGTATTTTAAAGGTCCTCTTCACTTTTGGCAAGCAAGTTTGTATTATTTGCATATTGCAGGTTGTTAATGATTCTTCCTCCAATTCTGATGCCATACTCTTCTTAAAATAATCCAGTTTCTCAAATTATTTGCGCAGAATACAGAATGAATACATAGGGTGAAAAAGTACAACCTTAGTGTACCCCTTTTCTGACTTTAAATCATTCAGTGTCCCCTTGTTCTGTTTGAACAACTGACTCTTGAGCATCAGCAAATGTTCTGGAATATCCATTCTTCACAATGTTGTCATCATCCACACATTAAATAAAGCACAAGTAAACATGTTTCTGGTATGCTCTGCTTTTAGGGATTCATCTGACTTTAGCAAAGATATCCCTAGTCCCGGGTCCGCTTGGAATCTGGTTTGAGTTTCTGACAGTTCTTTGTCAGTATACTGTTACAACCATTTTCAAATGATCTTCAGCAAAAAATTATTGCATGTGATACTAATGACTTGGACTTTTGTAGTAGTCTAAGCAATATGCTGATTATTACGGGTTGAATTGTGTTCCTCTAAAACATGCAGTGACATTCTAATCCCTACACACATGGAGATAGCCTGGATGACACAATAGTTTAGTGCTCATGTGCTAACTGAGGCTGGCAGTTCTAACCAACCCAATGGCTCTTGTTGTTGCTGTTAGGTGCCATCGAGTCACTACCGACTTATAGCCACCTTATGCACAGCAAAACGAAATATTGCCTGATCCTGGGCCAACCTCACTACTGTTACCACACTTGAGTCCATCAATGCTGCCACTTGGCCAATCCATCTCGTTGGGGGTCTTCCTCTTTTTCTCTGACACTCCACCTTACCAAACATGATATCATTCTCCAGCGACTAGTCCCTCCTGACAATATGTCTGAAGTATGAGAAGAAGTTTTGGCCATCTTGACCTTTAAGGAGCACTCTGGCTGTATTTCTTCCAAAATGGATCTATTGGTTCTTTTGGCAGTCAATGGCACTTTCAAAATTCTCCTCCAACAACATAACTCAAAGGCATCAATTCTTCTACAGTCTTCCTTATTCACTGTCCAGCTTTTGCATACATATGAGGTTATTGAAAATACCACGGTTTGGGTCAGGCGCACTGCAATTTAGTCTTCAAGCTGACATCTTTGCTCTTCAACACTGTAAAAAGGTCTTGTGCAGCAGATTTTCCTAATGCAATCTGTAGTTTGATTTCTTGACTGCTGCTTCCATGAGTGTTGACAGTTGATCCAAGAAGAATGAAGTCCTTGATAACTTCAATCATTTCTCCATTGATAAGAATGTTGTTTATTGGTCCTGTGGTGAGGATTTTTGTTTTCTTGACATTCAGATGTAATCCATACCGAAGGCTG